CGTCGCTTAGGCAAAAACCAACTGTTTCGTTTTCTTGTCTCGAAGCACTTGTAAGACGTGTCAAAATGATCACATCTGTGACTTCTCAATCTGGAGAAACAGCGGATGTACAGTAAGGCTCTCCTGTATATATGAACGCTGGAATACGTCGAGATACCCCGTAATTTGACTCAGAATGCTCATTTTAACCGCTTGTATCCGGGATCAATGTTTCTTGGTCATGGCCATAGGGGAACATCGGGATGAAAATTGACTTGAGCCACTCCATTCACTCTTACGTTTTTGACGAGCAACCGCCCCAGGCAGTTCACGCAAAACGGCTGAAGTTTCGCAGCTGTGGAACCAGATGAAAACAACTGAAGCACTTCTAATAATTTTCTGCATCGAACAGCAGAAGTACGGCCATTATGAAGGCGAACCAAAAGTAGCTGAGAAAGGAGAAAGTGTTTCTCAAAATGGAACGACAAGAATTGACCTTAAAACAGCATATAATGCATATCTCAGTCCTTTCTAAAAAACGGCTTAATTTCTTGGACTCTGTCAAACAAACTCTGGTTTTCAGATCATGTCCAGATTGCAGCTACCGCGGAAGAACCATGGATCGATGTCATCCTCTGCTTAGCGAACAAACTTTGAATTACATCTATTTATTTTTGAAACTCATTCCTTCGTAGCAGTAATGGTAGCTACTTGAAAAAATTTATGCGTTTCTCTCGGTCATCCGCCAATCAATAAATTCAGTGAAACTGACTCAAAGAGTGACAATGCCAAGTACTATATGCGATTGAGAATCTAGTTTTCGGCCTTCTTCTAGCCGCCGTTCACGTGATTTCCCAAGACAGCCTGCCAGGTGAGTCTTCAATTTGGCAACAAGAACGTTATCCGAGCCAATACAATTGTAACCTCAGTTAGGAAAAGGAGCAGTCCACAGCTGGGACATTTCAGATTACCTGATTTGAAAGCCGATTGAGCCTAGTTCCTTTAGCAAAGTTTCGAAAGAACTTACCTCTCATACTCACTTCGGATAGACATAAACAGACACTTATCATAATGGGTTAAAAAAGAGAGAATGAAAAACCTGGAATGTCTTTATTAGGAAACGAAACTTCCGGAACTCACAATGGTGTTCCTTGTTCATCAGAGACAAATAATCGTTTTCTAAGTCGACTACCTCTCGTATAGTTGTTTGTGTTTTCTTACTCCATGCAGAATTCATGACCATGGATGAGATACTTGTAAGTTGTTTCACAATGCTTCTCAGCGCTTTCTTCTCCACCACAGATCAATTTAGTTTCGTCGTAAACATTTTTCATCTCCATAAAGTAGGCATAAATTCTTTTCGCAGATTCCTCGCACACATGGCAAAAACAAAAGATTTGATGCCGGGTGTTGGGTAAGGGTTGAAAGCAATACTACTCGTTCCAAATCTCACCAGTTTTTCACTTTTTCCAGATATGTCCTTTCACTTTACGCAAGTTGCGTAAGCCCTATTGGATTGACAGGGCATTACGATATTTCAGTAGTTGCTGCAGCTACTCCGACACATTTTTTATAATATTGAAAAAAATCACACCGAAATGCTTTTGACTCAATCCGTTTCCAAAATTGCAAACAACTCAACATATAGGAGTCAGCGAAAAGCTACAATAGCCATTCAGTGAAGTTGTAATAAAGATTTTTAGAATGCCGGTCTTGCTTTCATTTTCATGATGGGCACCATTCAGTTCTTTAAGGTAATGATAGAAAGCTCATATTCATTTCCATTCTATCAGTCAGGATACCGCTTACTGTAAGGGCAGAATCGGCATCAGCTATGTGGCAAGCATAGAGTATTGTCCCCTGTTTCCTTTCCACTGAAGGATACGGATACTCATTTTTCAATCTAGGAACGAACAAAGGCGAGTAACTTCACCAGGGATTCAATACGAGATCTTTCACTACTGAGTCCAAAGCTTTTCCTACTGAACAACCCCAACCAGTTAACGCTTTAAGCATACCATATGAATTTTCGCTTTGTCCGGCAGCTTTCTCCAAGCATTACTTCCTTGAAATTTTCTAGCTATACCTGACCTTCTAGGTGTCAACAGTAGCCGTTTCAGTTGAGTATCTATTTGGTCTGGGAAAACTACTATGAAGGTTTAATACGACCTTTGGTGGATGATCGCTAGTCTTCACCACAATTTAGCACAGCATTTTGGGATCTTCGAATGATGCTTCTAAAAGTGAGCATTGAATAGGGCGTTATTATTGGTCTAGCTGCCTGATTTTCTCCTCCTTCTAAACGTTTTATATGCTCACCTGCGACATCAAGTGAAGTGGTCCGTCTTACAATGCTTATCGCGTAAATCTTTTGTTTGTGGGGTTCGCTATTTTCCAAGTAATAAAACGCATATTCTAAATTTTAGACTTTCTACCAAACACTAAATGTTTCCTGGAGGACTAATGGCAAAGCATTATTTCTGTGCATCAGATTCACCTGAACTTACGATTGTTTTTCCGGAAAATTCAAAACCTGCAGATCAGTCTTTCAGCACGATCGTACTTAACAATGACAGTGCATAATCTCGTCAATCAAAGTCGAAGGAATGATTGAGTAGAAGAACATAAAGGTGCGTAAAATAAGGGAGCTAATAACCATGTGCACCTGGGTAGAGTTATCTGCAAAAGGTTAAAGACAAAGGTCCACCTCATTGCTGAATTGACAGTCATTTTGGTCTTATAAATAGGCTAAGTAAGGTTGACAGAGTGAAGGAACGTGAAAAAGAACGCAAAGAGTGTGCGATACGAGAAGTCATAACTCGACAATCGGCTGTCCTGAAGCTACAGCAAAAGTTGTAGGTGTCCCCGCCAAAGGACGACGCCGTCATGCAGTCGATTGCTCATGTCGACCAACGTAAAATCGTTTTGTAAGCGGAAGTTAAGTGCTACCATGCAGCAACCAATGGACTATCGAAACAACTCTTTGTGCACCAATCGAGATGTTCAGATCGAACTGCAAAGATTGTTGAGAATGCACATCCCTGCGTACCTCCACACCAGTTTGGTCATCGAGTCAATTGCGAAACATCGACTGCACGTGCTGCAGTCGACTTACACCATCGTCGTTCACAAACGGCACGTGCGGTCGTTGTGTCATGTTCATATTCTCATGTCCTTTGGCGGCAATTTTGCTTTCATGTTTGGAGAGATAGGCATGGATTAAACGACGATGCTATGCGAAACTGAAAAGCTTCCTGAAATTTCAGTTCAATTATGGCACACCCCCCTTTATAAAAGTGCCTTTCTTGCGAAACCATTTTGCACGTGACTCTTTGACTCGTGACTGCACGTGACGGTAAAGTATGATATTCGTTATAGAAGCCATGACTAAAACGAGGTCAGTAATTAAGCATAAACTACATTTCTTGGTGTACGAACGTGAAAAACAGGTGGTATAATTGCTAATTCACAGCTAATATAGTTATCAAAACCGGATTTTCCAGTCAGCACCAATTCGCTTAGTAGCTTAAAGGGCGCATTTAATGATGTCGTGAGGAAAAACAGCCAGTGTCGAATGAGGAGCAAGTTATTGTTCAGGTCTGTCAAATGATAGTACATGCATCCAGCACTCTATTTGTTCGAACGTCATGTTCCCGCGTCCTGCTTGAATGACCGTGTAGGCACTTGCGAGCAAGTCACGTGCGATACCCCATGGAATCTGGTTCAAGGAGTTTGGCGCCTGATGAGTTACATAGCGTAAGAACCAATATTTTCGGATATGCGATCAACTACAGATGAATCTCAGAAGATTAAAATGCGGTATAGAACAAGTAGAAAAAACTTGACTAATCGTTGCAACTTTTTCTACCTCACGAAAGCAAGGGAATTGATAATTTATCAAAAACCATCCGGAAATAATCAGAATTTCTTCAATTCTTTTGTTTTGCATTCTAGCATATCGTCGCTTCCATGTCACTGATCATTTCGCAATCAACTACAGGCTTTTACAGCTAAAATAGCGGTTCAGATGAATTTTTATAACTCTCACCTTGTGCTGATTACCACGTTGAATAGTCAGCAATCTGGTGTAAATCTAAAAAAGGCTGTGTTGACGGCGACAGCTGCATTCGGTAATTCGGTAATGATTACTGTACCGTAGCAAGAGATGAAGAAGTTAGAAAATACGCTTTATCAACAGAACTGCTAAGTATCTAATGAGTAGACTTTTAAAGAGTTAATTTGTAAATTTCTGGCTTCCGCTTTTTCATAACTGAGTTTCTACTAGTGATTTTATTGCATTTCTTCAACCAAAGCTTAGGTTCATTGCGTGTTTTATGCAGAAAGATTATAATGAGCTCCCGCTGTTTTGAATCTATTCCTATGAAACGATTGCGGCAGCTAACTGAAGCAGTCGTCGTCAATGCAGAAATAACATTTTTTTGCATTTACACTTTGTGCTGATTATGATATTGGAAAATCAGCTGTTAGGGGAGGGGGGAGAGGGGGAGGATCAAAGCCAATTGCGACCATAGTAGATACTGTCATTGAAAAACAGGGCCTCAAGTCTCGCCTATTCGGCTATGATCATGACAAAACACCATGCTATCATCATCATTCGCAAGTCAACGATTTGCCACTCGTTTCTCGACTGATTGCACCAAAACAACATAAGATGAAATTCTTGCTCAAGAAATTATCGATTAAAAGAAAATGTCTACCTTTCTAACGATTCGAACTGGGCATCTCCAGAGTTCAAAGCAAAGCCGACCTCTTGCCATTGTGCCACCATGCTCCAGCTTACAAAACATTTAAATGAAACGAAATTATTAGGGTAGTAGAAATCGATTGTGGACCAATCGGTTTTTGAATTATTCATGCCTACAGGTCACAAATGTCCTTAACCTTCGGATAGACAAGGAACAGTTTATTGAGAATACACTGTAATTTATCATTCATGAAAATTCTAGAATTAAAAAGACAAAATACATTTTACCCATATGTGATGAAAAGCAAATAGCGCAAGATAAGTAAAGTGAGTAAATACCGCCATAACTCTGACAATGCCCTTGTTCGAGTGTACCAAGCGACATGTAATTTGATAGCCTGTGTGGTTTGCTGTAATAGTGGTTCAGTGGTTCAGTGGTTCGTCTATAAATAGTTACGACGCCTCTGAATCTAACCACAATACATCGTAAGGCGCCGCAATTGAGCAATTGAACTGATTACGTGTGAAACGGCTGCAAAACTGCAAATGTAAATAAATGCCTCATAATATGACTCGCAAATCCAATAGGTTCAAATATTAGCCGGCAAAACGCTCATTCTTCTGAATGAGCAACGCCATATGGAAAGAAAGCAGTAGGCGGTAGAAGAAGACGTTGGTGTTTCCTCCTCTTAAAAACACGGCACTCCTACCTGATTGCATCGAGATTCTCAAAGGGGAGTAGATGACAAACTTCAAGTAGTCTTCTATAGTAAGCGCCAGTGCGCAACGAATATCACCAAAGCGGCAACCGAACGTTCAGAAACGACCTACTGGTCAATGGAAAATGTCGCACAAAAGAAGATTGTGTCAGAAATTAACTTAGCACCACAAATTTCACGAAAATTGGATGCCATAAAGGGCCGAACTGGTCTTGCTAACAGATATGTTCCAAGGGGTCGTTATTGCCACATTAAATCCTGATAGGCTAAGTCTGTATGATGTACGGCACAAATAGAGCGTAAAAGTTCTGATCTGAAACTCAGGGTGATGGACCACATCGGTCAGTTCTCACGATGTCATCTTCAGATGAAAAATGCTGTCGATGGCCATAGTAGGACGTCTTTACCATAACAAGCGGAATTGCGTTGAACGGCTATGGCAAGTCCCGTCACTTTGGTGTCTCGTGATGACTGACATAGCCCATCTGTAGCAATTAGCGATGGAATTCCCGAACAGATGAGTGAAGTCAGAGATAGTGCAAAAATGTGCAACGTACTAATGGTCGTAACGCTTTAGGGATATGTATAAAGAGTCACTTAGTCGCTGAAGCCATATGTATGACTTTGGACATGTTAAAAGTTTGTAATTTGTCCATGGAAACTGAAGTTCCTCAATCGGGCAGTGATGTGTGAAATGAGACAAATCTCCAATTTGCTGTGGAATGGATTCACGCCATAGCAGACCCGTTCAGAATACTGTTACAGTAAAATCACAAAGGTACACGAAACACAGTTATATAAATGCCTCCATATATCGCTTTTTCTTTTGCGTATTACACTTAACAGAAGGAGAAGTTTCCTACTCGATACCTCCTTGCTGTCTTATAAACTGTTGTAGCCGCAGTCAGCACGCATCAATAATTTCAGTGAGCAGTACTTTGGTGCAGACATGTGAAATATAGAGGAAAATATTTTTTTAAGGATTATCTGGACCTATACTGGTACGCTGTTGCCATAGACGATTTGGCTCAATGTAACAAAATGATGTCTGTACAATCTAAAATATAATGACGCATCGTTTAAGTTGTATGATCAAGGCATCAGTATAATCAAGTAAAATCTACTCATTTCTTCACAACTGTTGCCATTGAGGGACAGAGCATGCTGTGAATTTCCTGCAAAATGAAATGCAGTTTCCAAAAATTAATGTGCGG